ACCTCAAGTTCCTTTGCAGCGGTGCACGACGAATGAGGTATTGACAATTTATAAATTTTGACCGTTTCTTTCGAAGGCATAATTTCAACATTATCAGCAGTGAACTCAAATAGCGGCGCTTGCTCCGGTGTTTTGTTGCTATTTCTCTCATTGATGTGGATTTTCATCCTTTCAAAAACTACTGCTATTGTGGAATACGATGAAAGTGCAACCTGAAATATGTTTTTTGCACAAATTTCAGAAATCGAAACGTTAGTCTGTAGGGTGGCGAATTACTCCAAACGCCTACATTCAGCGACGACATTGCGCTCAACAAAAATGTTACAAAAATTTCTTCAATGGACTTGCAACTGAGGCGGTGGAGGAAGCTGCACTACAAACCCAAGTAGACTGAAAAAATAGCAATGCACACCAGACAAGCCGGTGCGATCATGCGTTTTGTGCAATTCCGCCCACCGAACGATAGCGCACCAATAATTTTCACTGTTTTGTACTTTAGTCTGTGCAAAAATAGTTGAAACGTTGAAAAATACTTAAAAATTTCACGCGCCGGCGCATGAAAGCTGAATCTGAAGCCTTGAAAGGTGAATATCCTTCCGTGATACCCGAGACAACAGTTTGCCCGCTAAAATTCTCACGAGGCCATAAGTGATACCCGAAAGTGCGGGAACGCTGAATATGAATTCGCAAGGTCATATATGGGCAAGAGGTCAATACCCTAAAATTTCAGCTTCATAGACTTTGTGGTTCCCGAGATAATTTATCCGCAAAAATTTTCACGGGGTTGTAAGTGACATCCGAGAGCGCGGGGTCACTAATTTTGAATTTGCAAGATCGTTTGTGGGCAGGGAATCACAATCCTAAAATTTCTGCCCCCTAGACTCCGTGGTTCCCGAGATAATAATTCATCCGTCAAAAATTTTCACTGGGCTGCACATGTTACCCATGGGCAGCGGAGAGCTGGATTTAAATTTTTTGGGTAGCACACGGGCGGAGGACATGCGCACAAAATTCCAGACTTCTAGCTTCCGTGGTTCTCGTGATAATAATCTTTTTCGGGGCCGTACGTGTTACTCGCGGGCACTGGGGGCTGAATTTAAACTTGCAGTGTCGCATGTGGGTGAGGAACGTTCCCCAAAATTTTCAGCTTCCTAGCTTTCGTAGTTCCCGAGTTGAAAGTTGCGGACAAGTTGCTGGGGACACACACACATGCAGACGACTCCGTGACAATATACGTCTTGTACTGCTGTTACACAGTACAAAACGCATAAAAACGTGCACTAATTCCAATTTGGAAAGAGAATAGCGAATCAGCATGCTCAGTTTATAGAAGAAGCAATACAGACGAATGACGAAATAAGACAGGTAAATGATAAACTAGGCACGAAAACTAAGAAAAAAGAGCAGCCGGTACATTTTCATAAACGTACGAAACGTCTCTTACGACACTAACACAATATCAACTGTGAAAGTGACACTTTTTTACTACTGATTTATTGTTCTGGCGCCAGAAAGCAGTCATGGAATGTTACGTTCATTAAAAAGGAACAGTCCATAACGAACCAGTGGGTTTCGGAATGAAACATAGTAGGTATGAGCAAGATGCAGTACTTATTTTATAAAACCATTGTGGTTTCAATATGACAAGACATTATGAAAACTTTCAGGAAACATCCCCTTAAAATTTCAGCTTTCTAGCTTCCGTGGCTCCCCAAGATTTCA